TGGATGTATTGGGAACCTTGGGAGGAAGTGATCATGTCCTCTTGGGTCTCATTATATGAAGGCAAGGTGAAGTTGTCTCAAACTATTCATAGAATTAGAGAAGTGGATGGACTTTGGAGGTCATCTAATCAAACTCCATGCTTGATGCATGGAGGTTGCAGCTACACCATCCCTGACAGCCTCTGCTTAAATAACTCCACTGAAGACAAGTCCACCTCATGAGGCAGTCTATTCTCCAATTGGAGCACTCGCAGGCCAGTGTTTCCCAGTTGTCGGTGTTTATACTACATTTTTTGAAATTTGCCTTGAGATAGTCCTTAAACCTTTTTTGTTGACCACCAGCATTACGCTTTCCATTTTTAAGTTCGGAATACAGAGAGCCAGTGTGGTGTAGTGGTTAAGAGCGGTAGTCTCGTAATCTAGGGAACCGGGTTCGCGTCTCCGCTCCTCCACATGCAGCTGCCGGGTGACTTTGGGCTAGTCACACTTCTCTGAAGTCTCTCAGCCCCACTCACCTCACAGAGTGTTTGTTGTGGGGGAGGAAGGGAAAGGAGCATGTTAGCTGCTTTGAGACTCCTGAAGGGGAGTGAAAGGCGGGATATCAAATCCAAACTCTTCTTCTTCTTCTAGTTGCTTTGGAAGACGAGAATCAGGCATCCGCACAACATGACCAGTCAATGAAGTTGATGTTGCAGGGCCACTGACAGGAAGCTGGGTGTATGATGCTTCCTTTCCTCGCTGGCAGCCCTACTCTTGGGTAAAGATGACATCATCTTTACTGGAGGATCAAGGAGAGGATTCTAAGCACATCGGGCCACACATCCTTACAATACACCCCACTCCCTGCTAGTAATCTTGCAGCTGTGTTCTGAACTAACTGCTGTTTTTTGGAAGTGACTGCAATCTCTACCATGACCTTTGCTAGCAATATCTGTGACCCTTAACAGCAACACTTTTCACCCCACCTCTTGTCTTAGTTCAGGGGTCAGCAACCTTTTTCAGCCATGGGCTGAACCATGTGATGGGCTGGACTATATATATATATATTTGGGGGGGGGGGGTAATGAACAAATTCCTATGCCCCACAAATAACCCAGAGATGCATTTTAAATAAAAGGACACATTCTACTCATGTAAAAACATGCTGATTCCTGGACTGTCTCCACGGGCCGGACTGAGAAGGCAATTGGGCCGCATCCGGCCACCGAGCCTTAGTTTGCCTACCCCTGTCTTAGTTTAATACCCTGGCTGAGGAAGGCTCTGCTAGCTTACCATTTTGCAACATTTCGGTTGGTTTCAATTAAGCAATGACCCTACTGCCTATAGAGTACAGTATGACACAGCAAGGAGCTTAATTCAGAGTGTGTCATTCAGAGCTTAATAGTGAATTAAACAGAACTGCCTTTGTGCATCGAGGTTATTGATTTTTTGCTTTTATAAACAACAACAACCACCTTATTTGCTGAAACAGTTTATTTTCAAAGCTAAGGCAGGCACTCACAAAAACCACCTACGATGCAAAGTAATTAAAAAAGCTTAAAACATAACATTGGCTTCATCTGCCAGGTAGAAAACAATCAAAGAGGATACAAATTCAATCAAATGTTAAAAGCAAATTACATGGTACTTTGCATCAGGCTGCTAAGGAAAGCCACTTTCTAGTACAAACATATATGCAAAGATTTTTCTACAAAGGAAAGAACATGATATAAAGTGACAGCTTCCTTTCGTTTCCAATGCTACCTTATTTTCAATTCTGTTTCAGCACACAGCAGTTTACCTAAGCAGTTGCCCATCTCTTTGCATGCACAAACATATTCTCTGTGCCGAAACTGTTGAGAATGTGTGTGTAAGTGGTTATCTTTATGTGTGAAACTATAGCGTCTGAAGACTTTCTACCTAAATATATTAAAATGAGAATTTTTGGTTTTTTGTAACAGCAGTGGAAGGTGTGTTGGGGCACCATTGTCACTTGACCTCTGATTGGTTAGGTTTGTCCCATAGCTGTCAACCTTCCCATTTTTTGTGGGAAATTCCCTTATTTCAGCACCGTTTCCCGCTGCTTCCCGCTGCTATCCCGGATTGTTAGATATCCCGTAGACTGTCTCCGGGACAGGTGAGGATGCTGATCCCTTATTTTCAAATCCGAAAGTTGACAGCTATGCTGCTGATCCCTTATTTTCGAGGCTGCTGATCCCTTATTTTCAAATCTGAAAGTTGACAGCTATGGTTTGTCCTTCTTACCAGGAGGCAGAGGGGGAAAGGTGAATGGTGGTGAGGTCAGTGCTGTGCAAATGCAGTGATGGAACAAATGGATGTGTTTGCACCGCGCTTCCCTCATCACTATCTTCTCCCTCTCTCTCTACCTCCTGATAAGCAACAGCAAGGCGACCAAGCGAAGATCAGGTGAGCAGTAGTGCCCCATCTTGCCATCTGCTATTGGTCTATATCAGGGTCTCCAGCTGTTTGTGGATTGCAATTCCCACCACCCCTGACCACTGGTCCTGCTAACAAGGGATGAAGGAAGTCGTAGTCCCAAAACAACTGGAAACCCTGGTCTATATAGTCATGAAAAATAAAATATGAAATTGAAAACTGTTCATCTTGCAACAAAGAGCACTAAAAAAATGTACTGTTATTCGGGCTACATTACACCTTTTATCACCTCATCTTTCTTTCTGGTCTAACTTTGACAGAACACCAGCTCCAGTAAAGCATTTGAAAAGAAGGTTTGGGATTATTACTGACAGAATATCTCTACAAAGCACTTTTAGGTTACTGTGTGAGTGTTCATTGTGCCATAAAACACAGTAGACAAGATAGAATATCATTGAGACCTTATCAATAAGGGCATGGAATGGCTTTCATGATAACCCTCCTTTTCACTCACAGGGTATACAGAAATTCTAAGGGAGTTCTGCTTAAGTCATGCAGAGCCATAGTAAGACGTTCCATCATTTCTAGCTGTGAAAAATAATTATAAAACAGAATTGTGTGGTTTAAAACTGGCTCTTTCATTGCTGCTATGATTAGCAACACACAATGACAAGTCTAGCGTGTGATTCAGGATGAGATGAGTAGCACTTTGTTGTACCAGTGGTAGGTACGCCTGGTCAGCTGGAATATTGGGTGGATGAAAGGGAAGGGTGAATGAATGGGGTTCATAGCTTTACCAATGAACAAAAAATGTCAAGGTAAATCTAAATATACATGTTGAACCAAAATACCTATCAATATTCAGCCGGCAATAACTAACACTGACAAACCTAATACTGAAACAATATTGTGCATGGATAAAGAGATACTGAAGGGGCCAAATGAGTTAAAATCACAAAAGTTCTTCTTCAGCAGGAAATTATACAATTTAAAAGGAGAGTCACACCTGCATGGCTTTAAACCACTTTTATTCCAGCATTGTTATACAGTCTTAGTGTTTACACACATACATGAGGTAGCCCTGATGATGTTTTCCCCTCTGCACTTAGAGAGAGGTGTCCAAAATTAGAGCTAAAGGTGGCATACATGGTTTTCCCCACTCTCTGTTTTACGGACACAACAGAAATGTGAGGTTGATTAGGCTGAAAAATAATAACTGGCCCAGTTATAGCTGAGTGGGAATTTGATTTCCCTGGTCCAAGTCATTCTAACATTCTAACAACCATGCCACACTAACTCAAATACAGTCTATTAAAAGTGTGACGTCACAAGTTTCCAATAAGAAGCAACACACAATGAGTATTTTCAACCTTAATGTTTTCCATGCGTTACTACTGTAAAAATTCCGGCTACGTCTCCATTTCAAGTTCAATCCCTCTTCCCTAATTTTTCTTTGGAATCCCAATGGCTACTTTGCATTGAGATGTAATTAAAACCATTGGCCTATCTTTGGACTCATTACTTATGCTCCCATTGTTGTAAGCATTCCGGACAATGAAGCGCAGATTGCTAGAGATTGAATTTCGAAATCTCAGTAGCACAGCCAACAAATCTTGCTCACAACTGAGGTTAGGGATCCTACTTTTGTTTGGCCGCTCCATACCCACATAACCTACACAATCCTCACCAACGTAGAGCTTTTTCTCTTGCAAGGTTTAACGTTATGTCATCTGCAATTCTTCAGGGAAGGTTCTCGAAGGTCCCATATTCAGAGAGGTATTGTCGCTGTGGTTTAGGACAGGTTGAGACTATTGCATCTATCTTGTTCTACTGACTGATTTATGCAATAATTCATGACAAATGTTTGAGCCCCATGCCGAAGGAGAGGTTAAGATTAAAATACTGGTAATTTATTACGGTTGGAGACCAGCTTATAAAACACATTTGGGGGTACAGACACAGAAGAAAAACAGACAATTAAACAATGTACAACAATAAACTATCGCAGGGAGTTGACCCAGAGTCACCCATGGAACCGAGTTTAGGGATTTTCGTGATGGACTAGTTTGAGTTGGGAGATGGACTGTGCCTACAGATCTGTACACAGAATCTGGTGACCATCCAGGTCATCTTCTGTTCTTTGCCTAACAGGAAAAGGTCAACTTTTGGCTTTTGCGGGAGGTCGGCAAGCCTCACCAGTAGGGGATCAATGGTCTTACTACGTGCCTCTTCATAAAAGGGACATCTAAAGAACAAGTGTTCTGGGCTTCCTATCTCTCCCAATGGACAGGTGCAAAGTCTCTGAGCATACGGGACTTTTCTAAAGGCTCCTTCCAGGACCGGCGAGAGAAGAGCCAAGTTTCTGGCAAGAGGTTAAATTGTTCTGACTCCTACAGGCATTCCTTTTTATTGAACAGCTGCAGAATATCTTTTATTGAAAGTAGCAGAATATCTGAGCAATGCCATGAAATTGCAACACTATAACACTTGAGTGGTACTTTTTAACCTTATTAGGCCTGTATGGTTTTGTTTTGGAGTGTCTTTTCCCGTGAACAATTCTGTGTATCCCTGTCTCCTCTGTTAGCCCAACTGGCACTAATTGTATCATGTTTTCTCTTTTCTAGATGTACATCCAGACAACGACACTTACAATATCCATGAGTTTAAGTGCTTCTGTGTCTCTAGGCATGCTCTACATGCCCAAGGTTTATATTATCATTTTTCATCCAGAGCAAAATGTTCAGAAAAGGAAGAGGAGTTTCAAAGCTGTAGTCACAGCAGCCACAATGCAAAGCAAGCTGATCCAAAAGGGAAACGACAGACCAAATGGCGAGGTCAAAACTGAACTTTGTGAAAGTCTTGAAACCAACAGTAAGTCATCCGTAGACTTAACCATGGTCAAGAGTGGCAGCACTTCCTAATAGATGTACGTTCACAGGAATGTTTAATAAACCACATTTTTTTCTTGGCTTGACCTGCATGAACATAGAGGTGTGCCAAAAATCATGTACCCATTTTTTAAGGTGCTTTAAAAAAAAGATCTGTAGCAAAAGAAATTAAAAATGATCATTTTAGGGGGAAAAACTCCACTTCAAAAAAAGCTTTAACCTTGATCTGATTATATCGTGATGATGGGCTTCTTATTTCACTATTGCAAAGCTGTATTACAAACACCCTCTATAGTTTTTCAAATTCCAATATTGCATTTATTGGTGGTGGTATCCATACATATACTTTTTACAAGTCTGTGTAGGTAATGTCATCCTTATCTTACTTTATGACCTTCTGAATAATTGTAAAATTTGAGCATCATCTTCCCCTCCCTCAACCCACCATCTTAAGTGCAGCCTTGGTTTTTGCCATGTTGCAATAAGTAGCTGGTTTTTTCTTTCTAGGGCAAGAAAAATGCTGGCTTAGTGAGTGACGAAGACCAACAGGAACTCCTTAAGTCAGGGGCTCCCGAGCTGTGGTCTTCAGACCACCAGCGGTCTACAAGCTTTATTCAAGTGGTCCACAATATGTCTATAGATTTGTAGTCGAAGATGGGAGATGGGGCAGATCTATCACATGAAACATTCACATTTTAATTGTATTTTAATAGCTTCATTTATTTCTTATATATTCTATGGAATTCATATTGTATTAGAACAGGCTTCCTCAACCTCAGCCCTCCAGATGTTTTGAGACTACAATTCCTATCATCCCTGATCACTGGTCCTACTAGCTAGGGATCATGGGAGTTGTAGGCCAAAAACACCTTGAGGAAGCCTGTATTAGAATATAATGCGGTATAAAAGAAGCTACAAAACGATAATTAAAAATCATATATGGAACATTCCAGTTGCTACAATAGACAGAAAAATTATTAAGTTTCTCACAAAAACCCTCAGAATTTGTAAGTGGTGTCTGTTAGGAAGAAAGATTGGAGATCACTGTTCTAAGTGATGCTACTTCTGGCATTCATTCTTACTACACAAAGACACAAGACCAACCTTCTTGATGGTGTTACACACTAGTCTGAAGAATGTTGTCTTACTCATGTGTTTTCAACATGGAGCTGGTGACACTGTTCAGTCAGACTTCTCATTACCTGTTGGAAACTACACCTGATCAAGGCATTTCCCTTCAGGCTAGCACTGACTATGCATTAGCCAGGGAATATGCTTGGCACTTCCACACCTGATAAAAAAATCTTGAGAAGCAGAGGAATGTTAAAATTATTATTGTTGCTTGGTAGGATAACACAGGAAACCAGCTTCCCAAGTGATCATATGCACACACCATTGCAAGTTAACAATTGGTAAGGAACTATCTGTAAATTCATCCATTGTCTTTTGTCTAAGTAAAGGTAAAGGTAAAGGGACTCCTGACCATTAGGTCCAGTCGTGGCTGACTCTGGGGTTGCAGTACTCATCTCGCTTTATTAGCCGAGGGAGCCGGTGTACAGCTTCCGAGTCATGTGGCCAGCATGACTAAGCTGCTTCTGGCGAACCAGAGCAGCGCACGGAAACACCATATACCTTCCCGCTGGAGCCGTACCTATTTATCTACTTGCACTTTGACGTGTTTTCGAACTGCTAGGTTGGCAGGAGCAGGGACCGAGCAACGGGAGCTCACCCCGTCACGGGGATTCGAACCGCCGACCTTCTGATCGGCAAGTCCTAGGCTCTGTGGTTTAACCCACAGCGCCACCCACGTCCCATTTTCTAAGTACTCATATGCAAATTTCATCACCAACTAGCAAAATATGCAATTAGAAAAGCTGGGTCTTCCCCTTCTGGAATTGGTTCATGAATCCTGGCACATCTCGAAATAACTCTTTCAAGTAGGTTAGTCATTGCACTCTATGGGAGCATGTTGTCATAGCATGTTATATGACATTTATTTGCCTGCATACTTATCTAAAAAGGCAAAATAGATCTGGGCAAAGTGAAAGGCCTAAATACAAAAGATGAATTGGCCTTCACCACATTGAAGTCTGCATTTTGTTGCATGCGTGGTAAAAGAGAGAAAAAGAAAAGAAAAGAAAGTAATTTTTAATGCAAAAGGTTTGTTTCCGATAGCATGCTTTTACAAATGTCAGAGCAACAAAGAAATTATTCAGTGCTGTCGATCCCCAAATCACAAAAGGCTATTGGTAAAATCTGAAAATTCCTGTTTGCTGGCTTTTGTAGGCTTAGCAATGATTCATAATTTGATATGAGAAAAGGATATGCTTTGAAACAAAGTAAACAGCCCTTGGTATTGCAGATATGGAAGCATGAAGCATGAACTATAATGTTTATTATGATCTTTCTTTTAAATGAGGCATAAACATACCAGATAAAGACAGTTCCTGTAGTCAAGGGAGGGTGAGGGGTGTGGCCTGATACCAAGACTGGGCAGTGAGAGCGGGTTAGCTGCTTGCTGCTCCCTTATCCACCCACCTACCTGAGAGCTGCCACCCAGGTGAAGAGGCTTCGACCTGCCCAGCTTTGGGATAATAATAATAATAATAATAATAATAATAATAATAATAATAATAATTTATTTATACCCCACCCTCCCCAGCCAAGACCAGGCTCAGGGTGGCTAACACCAGGTATAAAAACAATTGATTAAAATACAACTTAAAAACAAGATTAAAATACAACATTAAAATGCAGCCTCATTTCAGTGGAAGCCCAGATCAAAAACTGTTTGGGGATGAAAACGTCAAATCTTCACCAAGGCCAACTACTATCCAGACTGGTCCTATGTGGGCCAGGAAAAAAACCAAGGAAGTCCCCAAGTAGGAGTTCCATCACAGAAAGAAAAAGGAAAAAGGAAAGAGGGGAAGGGGATCAAGTTGATTCCAAGCCAAAGGTCAGGGGGAACAACTCTGTCTTACAGGCCTTGCGGAAAGAAATCAGATCCTGCAAGACCCTGGTCTCATGAGACAGAGCGTTCCACCAGTCCAGAGCCAGTGCTAAAAAGGCCCTGGCTCTGGTTGAGGCTAATCAGACTTCCTTAGGGCCCAGGACATCTAGGGTGTTGCTATTTATGGACCTTAAGGTCCTCCGCGGGGCATACGGGGAGAGGCGGTCCTGTAGGGATGGAGGCAACAGGGCTCTAGGATCCTGTCAGAGCATTGCGCCCCTTTCCCTAAGCTGGGGGAAGGAGAGGTGATGCTCTGAAGGGTCTGAGAGCCCTCTATCCACCTTCCCAAAGCCCACTCCTAAGCTGGCCAAACGCTTCCAGGGCTTGGGGAAGGAGGCACAATGCTCTGATGGGGTTTGAGAGCCCTCCTGCCTCCTTCCCCCCACAAAATATGGTAGTGCTGCTGCTTACCATTGCGTTTTGCCAGGGGGGGAAGCACTGGCTAAAGAGAGAATGGAGTTGGTGACAGCAGATCTTGAAGTTTGCTCTTGTTCCTTCAATGGCTTCATGGCAGGGAGAAATGTAGGAAGTGTATGGTGGAAGCAGCCGTACCCTCCAGACATTTGGATGCTGTGGAAGAATTACAGACACCAAAGATAGATAAGGACGGCAATGCTTGGCAAAGGATTTTTATCATGATTATTATTTATCAAAATAATGGCCACTGTTTTATTTTGTGTGGGGAGCCACCCTCAAAGCAGTTTGCTTTCTTAAGAAAAGGCAATCAGAAACCCAACAATATTGATCAGTTTATCACAATGCGCTTGCTAATCATTAAGCTTTCTTGATTTCATATGCCAGTATGGGAAGGTAAAAATGTCTTGGTTTCTCTCACAAATGTCTCAGAGGCCCAGAAGAATACAAAGGAAAAGAGACAGCCTGTCACTGTTGAACACCCACTGAATATGCTCCATCCTTATTAAGCTTTTTTTTAAAGGCTTGAGTTTATTTTATTTTTTTTAATTATATGAGTGTTTCTGCAAATTTTAGGATTGCCCCAAGTTTTCTAAAAGCCTTCCTATTGTGTGTGAATGGTGCTGTTTTGGCTTCATGAGGACCAACACTCAGAGAGCGAGTTCCCTATCTACATGCTAGATGGGAGTGGCTGAATCTAGTAAAAGCACTCTCTAAATGTGATTTCTGAGTGACAACTGGAAGCAAACCTATTCCATCCAGTAGCCTGATGTGCAGCAAAGTGTTTTTGTGTTTTACTGTAGTCTTATCTTGGCTTCAGCCCCAAAACATTGATATGATTTTAAAGCTCATCTTCAGCGCCTGCCTTCAGGGTGTTGATCCTCGTTGTTTACTGCTTGAGAAGCAGGAAGATTAGAAAAGGCAACACATCCCCATTCTCGGGAGTCGTCCCCCCCCCCTCCATGGTGTAATTGAGCTGTCTTGGCTGAAAGACAGGCAACTCAGAATTGGAGCTTGCTTTTTTCAAAAGTCATCCTGTAGCTATTAGACCATCTTAACTTTACTCCCTGCTGCCAAAATAATTTGCGGAAACTTTTTAGAGGCACCAGCACACTTATCACTGAGTTTCTTGAAAGCTGCTCTTTGAAACCAGCTAGCTGTAATAGTACTCAGAATACCATCTAGAAAATATTCCTTCTTGCTAACAGTTGGTGACCCTCAGGTCTCAAATTACTTTTGCAGTGGCAGTCATGGCATTGTGCGGCAATGACATCATTTGCGGTGACGGGGCGAGGGGAAGCGTGGTGCCGTGGAGGGAATGAAACTCAACAGTCAGGTTGCGAACAAGCGTTTAGTGGAATGTGATCTCATTGGGGCTTAGTTGCACATAGGTGTGCTTAAGCAGACTTCTAGGTTCGGTTCCTGACTCTGTCATGATTCTTGTGACCTAAAGGGGACAACAGCACTTTTACAATGTATTCTTATAATGTAGTACATTTTGAAATTGCTTTGAAACTTGGTGTTTCTCCCTGAACAGTAATGATTATGATATAAACTCATCTAGCTCTAAATCCTGGATCAGTTGTGCAACTGTTCCCCCAGCCCACATACTATTTGCTAAAGAGGCCTTTAAAGTTCCATCAGGGAGCAACACTGTGAGAGTACCGTTGCCTTCATGTCTTTCTTGAGTGGGCATCCAACTACAGAAAGCAGGGTTCTGGACTCAATGGGTCTGACCCAGCTGGACTCCTTATCTTCTTAATTTTCATCATCCCTGAAACATTTAGCATTGGGGCCCACGAGACCATTCAGGCCCAACAGTTGCTCCACTGCCTGTGGTTGTAGTGTGTGGGGGGGAACTGCCATGGTGATTGCCCCGGGCACATTTTTCTCGGGAGGGGGGACACTGCTCACACCATTCTCCCTGAACCAGCCCTGTGATGTTTTGCGAGGCTGGACTCTGATCAGATCCCAGCCTCGCAAAGTGGCCTGTGGAGGGCTTGTGAGCACCTCATGCACCATTCGATCCCAGCTCCTTGAGGACAAGGCTTGGATCAAAGGTTCTCATGTCGCCCTGCCCAAATTGCTTTGTGAGGCTGGGATTATTCCAAACTCATGAGGATCCTTGCTTTCTTCATAGTATTGTTATCATTGTCAGAACAGTGACAACAGGTAAATGCTCCAAAAAGGTTAGGCTAAGGTTTTCTTTTCTTTTCTTAGATTTTTCAAGCAGTTAGTAGGCGAAATAGCAAGGTGCAGGGTGCAGAACTAATTAACAGTTATGGTTGCATCCAGTGAGCCCTGGCTTCAAACTGGGCCTGTGTGCATGCGTTGCTTAGCAACTGTGTAGAGCAAAATAAGCCTGGTTTTCTTACATATAAAATGGTCAACATGTTTAACGTGTTCTAGTAGTAGTCTCATTCTGTTAGAAATCTGACCTGACCTGCTGTGGTGTCTGACTGCTTAAGCAGGGGACTCCATTCATACACTCTTATTTACAGCAGTTTTCTAGGATAAGTCATCAATTAACCTGAAATTGAAATATCCACCCTTTTCTGCCGCATTTGCCAGAGTGAAACCTCCTCCTTAATGCAAACTTCTTTTTGCAAATGTAAAGATTTACATGAATTGTTCAAACATTAGTGCATACAAACATTACATTTTATGCATATTAAACTTACATCTTTAACAGACACCCAGTGTATTTTAAGCGTAGATGAGCTGTATTATACCATGAATGTCGAACCTGTGGTCATGTTAGCTAGGGCTGATGTAGTATAGTGAAATCTGGTGGGCTACGAGTTAGTCACTTCTGTACAATATATATAGTTCTCAGTTCACTGACTTCAATCGTAGGGTGGTATTCAACTAATCTTTACTCAAAGCAGAGTCACTCAAATTAAGGAACATTACTAAGTTAGCTCCATGGGTCTATGGGTAAAACTTTGTTACCACCCCCATTAACCACTTGCTTGGGAGACAGCCTGCTTATTGAAATGCCTGCTTTCAATTCAAGAGAGCTGCATGTCATTTTGATTTGTCTTTATTTTATTCCAAAGGACTAAACTGATCTTTTAAAAGTCTGTTAGTTCCTCGAGTTTATTGTGCCAAATATACAGCCATCTCTGGTCACCTATGCTTGCCAAGTGTGATTCGTATTTCAACTGTGAATAGCCCACAGTCTTTAAAACCAAGATACCAGCTGCTGAGGCTTTCAAATCCCCAAACAGAAGCAGTAAGCTCATTATAGTAAATTGTGGATGATGCTTGAGAAGATGTTCATGAAATAAAGAGAGAAGAGGAAAGCTGGGTACACTGGTAGTCAGTGTTTTCTTCCTCTCCTTTTTAAAACCACGAAATGAAATTGACAAGAATGTGAGCAACTTTTCAGAAATCACACACAAATTCTTAGGAGTACTGTTAATTTAGGCTCATTACTCCCCTAAGAAGCCATAGGCTCAGGAGGACTTGTTACTTCTTCTTTTAATAACATTTTAAATGGAAGGACTGAACACAAGCAGTGCAGAAAATTTCCTTCATTGGGTAAGTGGAGTTAAACTAAGTTTTCTGAAAAATCCCAAGATGGAGAAATTTCTCTATAATTTTCAGGAGAGGGCTGCTGCTTACCTCACTTATACTTTACAATGTAGCCAAGTGCTTTCCAATTTTTCTTGCTTTTTAACTATTAAAAAATGTCCTGCACTGGTTGCAGTGGTGCAACGTTTTCTGCAAAGTTCCCTGCTGGCTGCTTCTGGGAGTGCCCTGAGATATTCATTCTGGTTCTCTCAGTTTCTCATTTTTCCAATCTTAAATTCAATTCTCCAAATTTCTGCAGTGGTGTGCTTTTCTCTATTTGCACCTCATCAAAATTAATCATAATTTTTGTGCAAATCTTTCCTATGCAATACGTTTTGATATGCTGTTTTGACTACACATATTTGCAAGCAATTTCCCCTAATATAATGCATTTTTGTATACTATATTTTTGGGGTACACTTTTCCCTAAGGCATCCTTTTTTTGTAAACCACTTTAAGTTTTGCTTTTATTCACAGTATATAAACTTTATGAAATAATTAAATAATAAAATATTTGTGAACCTTGGTTGGAGAATTGCAGCGCAAAACTCAGATAAGTACGAATTTTTAAAGATGGCCGTTTTTTCAGTTCTTACATTTGGACAGTGTGAATTTGATAGATTTGCATTTAAATGGCAACTGAACCAAATTTCTCCTCCAGCCATATCTGGGAGCAGTGTCAAATCCCATAGCTCTCAAGCCATTACAGGGAGTATGGCTGGAGGGAAGCAGAGTGAGGCTCTTTCTCCATAGATTCCCTACTGGCGGAACTTTCTGAGATGACCCAGGTCACTTCTGGAAGATCTGTTCAGCTGGAAGTGGTCATCAGGGTGCTGTGTTGCCACCTTCCTGATGGGGTGATACTGCCACTTACCAAGGCAGTGTGGTCAGGATACTAGCAGGAATGCTGGTTTGGCTCCACCCACACAGCCCCCATGCTGCATCCTTGACTTCACCACTGCCCTGCCCCACCACTCCACCACCGCAGTAACCAGCCCTGACACCACTGCTGGGATTGCCCCACAATGCTAGGTATATTTGGTTCAAGTACTGTGTTGAAATGGGTTTGCGTGATGCCCTTTGCTGAGACCAGAATCTCTCTGTGATCCCTGAGCTTGAGCAAAAAGAACAACCTGTCCAATGTGTCTGTCAGCAGCCCTGGTTAATGCCCATGCCTAATTTTGTTCAGTTTCTTTGAAGACATGGCACGTCACCAGCACGAAACATTTCACAGGGTTGTTAAGCTTCTTTTCGTATCCATAAGAAGGGCTTTTCCCTGTTTGGCTGATCTTTGCTTGTTTTTGCCCGCAGCTTCCTCCAGCAAGACGACTTATGTCAGCTACAGCAATCATGGAAACTGAGTGAGGAAACCAAACATACCTGAAGACTTGCAGGATGCGAACTTAAGAACAACGTTGACTATAGCATCATGAGAACTCAGCCTTTGAGATGTCTCTAGACCATAGTCTAAACTGTAAAAGGACAAAGACTAACCTCTTGAGCCCAAAGCAGGAGGGGCGGGTGGGTTGGGAGAGAAATCGCCCAGAAATATATTATATGACTGTGTGTCAAATGTCCAAACTGTTTACTCATGAAAGAAGGTGAATCACAAAAGGAAAACAAAAAATGTTAGCTTGTGAAAAAAAATGCTGTTGAAATAAAAAACCATGTCTGATGTTCTACTTGTAAGTACTTTTTTGTGATTGTGAGAATTTCCATTCCCGTTCCACACTTGTTCAGCTTGTATAAGAAGATGAAGTTTGTTCCTTGTGAAGATGGCTGAATGAATTGAAGCCCTGCGTTGTGCTAATGATAAATGCAATGGTTGACGCATGCAAATTTTTATACAAAATAATTTATTTCTATTAATAAAGGAATGTTTTGCAAATGTTGAGACTTGTTTCGTTGCCATTTTGAGGGCTGCGTTCAAATGCCTGGATGTGAATCCCCACCCCACCCCCTGCAGTGAAAGGGAGAGATATTGTGTGCTAGGGAAATTGCAGCTGTAATGTGGGAGACTGTAGAATCAGGTGCTAGTATACTTGGGATAGTATGCACAAACAGGCTTGGTATCTAAGTGTTTATACAGGCATGGGAAAATAGGTGCAATAAGTTCGCTGGTCAATTGCCCTAGTGTCCCTAGAAGCTGATGGCTGGAGATGGATGCTATAATCTGTGAAGAGCTGGAAGAGATCACACTTTGCTTCCTTGAAGGATAACAATAGTCCATTTCTGCCTGGTCCCACCCCTTCACCCCTTCCAAAAAGAAGTTAGGGTGGAAACCTCATCTGCCATCTGCCTAAAGGGCAAGCAGGTTCCCCTCAGACACACTGTGCTCTGTAACAACTTGGGGAGCATGGTAACAATGCGTATAGGTACAAGCTGCTCTCACTCTCTTACCTTTTTTTAAAAAAAATTTTTATCATTTTTTCAATACAAACAACAACCACAAAAAGCATACAACGAAAACTGCAATAACACTAATAGCACAATTTACCATTTCAGATTTGAGTACTGATATACCTATGACTATGGGACGCGGGTGGCGCTGTGGGTAAAAGCCTCAGCGCCTAGGGCTTGCCAATCGAAAGGTCAGCGGTTCGAATCCCCGCGGCGGGGTGCGCTCCCATTGTTCGGTCCCAGCGCCTGCCAACCTAGCAGTTCGAAAGCACTCCCGGGTGCAAGTAGATAAATAGGGACCGCTTACTAGCGGGAAGGTAAATGGCGTTTCCGTGTGTGGCTCTGGCTCGCCAGAGCAGCGATGTCACGCTGGCCACGTGACCTGGAAGTGTCTCTGGACAGCGCTGGCCCCCGGCCTCTTGAGTGAGATAGGCGCACAACCCTAGAGTCTGTCAAGACTGGCCCGTACGGGCAGGGGTACCTTTACCTTTTATACCTATGACTACACCTTTTAAACAATATTTCCCCACCTCTCATGCCCCTACTTCCCACCACCGTCCGCCTTATCGCTTAAATATTCCTTCCAGATTTCTTCATATTTATCCATTCTTAATTTGTGTTGACATGCAATTCGTTCGTATGTGGCTAGTCTCTTACCTCTTTTGGGTGGTTGCACCCATTAACAGTTCCTCTTTCGTGGTCTGGCTATGGTGTTGACCTTTGGGCATAGTAGAAATCTTGGTCGGCCCGACAGACTGGTGTTTTCACCTGCTCCACACCGCCTGGAACTGGATGGTAGTCTGCTAAATAGTTGATTGGTTAAACTGGTTACTTTGGCAGGCAGGGAAGAAGTAGGTCGGTTGAGTGACCCCCTTAGGCACCTCTGTGGGTGATGGGCAGCTCCTGGGTTTCAGGACCCAGTGGTGGGAATTAGGGCCATCTTGCCTCCCCATCCACTTGGAGTTGAGGCATCTCCGGGGGTGATCATGCAGGAATGCCTCCCTCCTCTCCTTCAGGACAGGAAGAATTGGTTCTACCCATCCTTGTGGGAACTGACCACCTGCATAAAAAGGTAAAGGTAAAGGACCCCTGACAATTAAGTTCAGTCACAGACAACTCTGGGGTTGCGGCGCTCATCTCACTTTACAGGCCAAGGGAGCCGGCGTTTGTCTGCAGACAGTTTTTCTGGTTCATGTGGCCAGCATGACTAAGCTGCTTCTGGCGCAACAGAACACTGAAACCAGAGCAGCGCTCGGAAACGCCATTTACCTTCCCACCAGAGTAGTACCTATTTATCTATTTGCACTTTTTGGCTTGCTTTGAAACAGCTAGGTTGGCAGGAGCTGGGAACAAGCAATGGGAGCTCACCCTGTCACAGGGATTCGAACTGCCGACCTTCTGATTAGCAAGCCCAAGAGGCTCAGCGCCACTCGCGTCCCTCGCCCACCTGCATACCTTTGGGCATTTGCCTGAAATTTGGTTATCTAGCTCCTGCACTGATAGCTTTTCCTCTGCTGGTTCTCTTTATGTTTACATGGGCCAAAGTGAGCTATAGTTCCAGTAGCTACTGGTATCAGTGTTTTTAATTCAGCTCTCAGCCACAAAGAAAGGAAAAGAAGCACACCACTTTTATTGCTGAAGTTAATATGGAAGGAGTGGTGGAACCCAACCACAACCACCCTTACTACTACAAAGTACTTCAAAAGGTAGGTGCAAATCCAGATTGTTTGTGAAACTGATCTAATTGTAAATCCCCTAAAGCCAGCAAGACAGGGCAACAAATTATTTCAACAGGGAGGCAGAGACAGAGAATGACTTTCAGCCTAGAAGTCCTTCATTTTACTACCTCCCTCCTTGTCTGTATTGATATAGGATTAAGATCAAGGAGATACAGAGTTGCTGGGAAATATTTGGATTGGCATAGAGGCTGTCAGTGTGTGCTTTGGGATATCAGACACTTTTTCCCTGCCATCTATAAAATGAATAAAAAATAATCCAATTCACTTATTTCCAAGCTAGGCTGTATTTAAGCTACAATCCTATACCCACTTATTTGGAAGAATGCCCAAGTGCACTCAATGGGACTTCCTTCTAAGTAGAAATTGACAGGATTGTGCTGTCAGTCTTGAATGTATGGATACCCTGATAGGCTGGTCATCATATACTGAAAAAATACCCAGTGTTGTCATACTAAGCAGATGCACAGAGAGTCTCAGACGTTTCCAGAGACTTAAGCCAAGCAGCCACAAGATAACTGTTCATCAAAACTAAGATGCGAAATATTTTTATACATCTTTTAAATAACCAAATGAACCAATACAGGTGTAGCATTAATGAACTATCATAAAAAGAATATGTCGAGCCTCTTCAGCATTCAGAGTAGAACTTCACACACCGCACAACCAAATAATATATTGGATTATACAATGGCGGTTCAGCAATAAAGGTAAAGGTAAAGGGACCCCTGACCATTAGGTCCAGTCGTGGTCGACTCTGGGGTTGCGGCGCTCATCTCGTTTTATTGGCCGAGGGAGCCGGCATACAGCTTCCGGGTCATGTGGCCAGCATGACTAAGCCGCTTCTGGCGAACCAGAGCAGCGCACGGAAACACCGTTTACCTTCCCGCTGGAGCGGTACCTATTTATCTACTTGCACTTTGATGTGCTTTCGAACTGCTAGGTTGGCAGGAGCAGGGACCGAGCAACGGGAGCTCTCCCCGTCGTGGGGATTCAAACCGCCGACCTTCTGATCGGCAAGTCCTAGGCTTTGTGGTTTAATCCACAGCACCACCTGTGTCCCTGGTTCAGCAATAGAGGCACATTAAATTCAAAAAAGTAGATGTCCAGGAAGCACACACAAAATTCACTAAAAATACCCCACCTGTTTGGATGAGTGTGTCTGTAGTATCTAGAATTCTAAAAATACTCATCTCCATTCAGTGTGGCCTAGAACTGTCCCTGAATTTTCACATGTGATCAAAGCTTTCTGGGGAATCCCACCCTCCACATCAAACAAACATGTTACCATTTATCTTTCCAAGTTCTGCACAAAGATGTTTGTAGCAACTGCTTTCTTTTTGCTCTGGCAACTTTTACAAGACTTATTCTCAGTGCTTTTTTAATAAAAGGAAGGAAGGAAGGAAGGAAGGAAGGAAGGAAGGAAGGAAGGAAGGAAGGAAGGAAGGAAGGTGCCGATACTCACCATGAAGTTGTTACAGTGGGTGCCACACTTTGAACATTTGGGGGGAAGGTCCTGGTACTGTGTACCCTCGAGTACCCCCAGAAAAAAGCACTGCTTATTGCTGAATAGATCCCAAGCAAAAAGGGATCACGCAGCATCATGACGCTATGTTGTCAGTCCAAGCTGGCTACGCGATAATGTTCCTCAGGCCAGCTGAGAGTAAGGGCAATTGAACGGTAGTGAAAGAACACAGGTGATGCATGAGAGATTGCCCTCATTCTGAATGAACATATATTTTCACCATCTTGTGCTTATAAATTGCAGAAGGTTGAAAGTCTATTTACAAAAAGTAATCCCTGTTCCTTTTGGCTTGCATCTAGTGGATACTCTGTCACATCTTGTGTTTATAAATTCCTTCTCCTGCAGCGTAGCTACTGCCCTCAATTGCCAGTTCCCTGAGACTGAATTGATCATGGGGTTCTCCATCATTCAAACTCTCTACCATCACTGGTATTCAAAAAAAAATTGATATTCCAGACAATTCTTCCCAGGTTTTCAGCATAAAATGTGGGCAACTTAAGCAGACAAAAGCCAGTCAACTCAGATTTCTCTTGGGTCTCCAGCTGGCCCTGCCTGCCCCAATTTCCCCTAAGCTGTCTTCTCATTCTTCTGAGCCTGCTTCCTTCCTCCACCCTTCCACCCCTCTCCCAGTCTTTCCCATTGGCCACCATGTCTGTTTGTGACATGACAGTGAGTCTAATGTTACTGGCAACAGCTGGGGAAGAGTCTGCACAGCCTCCCATTATCCATATTGAAGGAACAGGTGCCATGAACACTATAGGGGTGTATTTAGAAAGACACTTATTTAGAATTAGAAGGTGGCTTATGTCATGCAGTTCTCTTCATAACTTTCACAGGTGTCTTGGGAAAAGCTT